AAAAAAAAAAAAAAAAAAAAAAAAAGATGTATCCACTTCTTAGATCACTGTCTTTCTTGACAGTCTTTCTTGACAGCATTATAGAACAACTACTATAATCTGAATGACTGAGACACAACAATAATAATTCCGTTAATTTTGAATGTAAGGCCTTGAAATAGTAATAATTGCATGACTTCCCTTATATGTTATTCATTTTCTATCCATCACAATAATAACTTATAATAATTATTATTGAGCCAACAGTCCAAAGAACACCTAAGAAAAAGTAATTTACATAATGAGCATGCATTATTTGAAAACATAGTAATGCTGATTAATCGCTTAAACACATTCCTCATTGCTCCTGTTTCCCTGCTTTTCCTTCAATTGAGATATCACAAATCTTCCCAAAGCTAGAATTTTACAAACATTTGAGTACTTAATCAAGGTCTAAATACATATACATGTATTCATGAAATTTAGGATGTGCCCAGTTAACCATTCTTTTCTTTTCAATTAAAAAAGACAGATTACTATAGTTCTTATTAAATGCTTACAAACTTATCTTAAAGTTGTATTAATAATTCTGTTTCCTTTCAGTGACATAGCAATGGGGAAAAATTTACTTACAGATCATAACCACTATCATCAGTGCCATTTCCTCTGGGAAAGCAAAGAATTAATACCCTTTACACTTTAATTCAGCTGAGTATCATGAACTGAGGAGTATTAATTCAGTAGAGTAATTAAAAAGAAAACTCCATCTGTGTACATATGTCCACATGCTTACTTGTTTCTCCAATTTTTCCTTCACACAGACCTCCTCCCAGCCTGCCCATTGTGAATGATCTATGGGTAGAGATATTACAAGTTTTGAGGGTTTCAGCCTCATGCAATTATGTCAAACCTCAAAAACCACTGCATCCTTCACTTCTCTCTTTTTTTCCACCACTGATGATTCTATACTGACATTATTGCAAACAATTTTCCAGAGCAGTCTTGTTTTACTCAGCCTAGGTGTGAACATCAGAGCCACAGGATAGGAACAGTCTTTTATCTGGAAATAAATCTCTCTAGAGAAAATCTGGTTAAAACAAAAATCTATGCCTCTTTCCAATCTTTTCATATGACTTTTTTTCCTTACCATTTTAGGCAACTTAGATTTAGGCAGCTTTCCTGATTTCCAGAGAGCTGAAGAGGGAAAAGATGAAAATTCTGTTAAGATTATTTCAGATATTTTATTAATATTCTAATATTTATTATTATTATTGAGACAGGGTCTCACTCTGCCACCCAGGCTGGAGTGCAGTGGTGCCATGTCAGCTCACTGCAACCTCCACCTCCTGGTTTCAAGCAATTCTCCTGCCTCAGCCTCTGGAGTAGCTGGGACTACAGGTGTGAGCCACCGTGTCTGACCTACTTCTAATATTTATATATTGAAGTTGCTATACAAGTATGATACTTTACAGGGTTCAGTTTTAAAAAACTGCTAAAATGTATTTGGAAAAATAAATGGACAATGATGTTAAAGGAAATCTAAAAATATATCAATGAGGGAGAGCAAACTGTACATAGTAATATCTCTATTGTTATAGGTATATTTAATTCATTTTTCTTACATAGAATTTCAGAGTATGTTTCCTCACCATTTTATCCATCCCCTAGTGAATTTTATCCATCGCTGTATATATAATATATTTTTCTTGAAAAATCCATGTTCACATTTACCAGGACTATATATCCAGGAGCTGGGTCAAAGGGTATACACATATTTAATGCTATTTAGTTCTGTCACATTGCCCTTCAAAATGGCTATGCTTCCTCTAGCAGTGCATGAGGGTTTTCCTCTCTCCACAACCTCACCAACCACATTTGCCTCTCTAAAATGTGGCATCTTTGATGGGTATAAAGCAATATCTCATTATTGTTTTAATTTGGATTCTTCTGGTTACTAGTGATTTTAAGCATTTCTTCATATACTTGTCCATTTGGGTTTCCCATCTGTCAATTGCCTATTCATACGTTTTAAAATTTTACATTTCGGTTGTCTTTTTTTAATTTCTTATTGATTTTGTCTGTTATGTACCTCTTTGAACAACAACAAACCTTCACAGGTTTTGAAAAGGAATTCTTTATTCTGATGTAGTCAAATCCATCATAATTTTATCTTATGATTATATATATTTTTAGGTGATCTTTAAGAGATCTTTCTCTTCCCTTAGTTCACAAAGATGTTGTAGATAGTCTATTAATTTTATAGATTTGACTTGAAAATGTTTTAATCTCTCTGGAATCTGCCTTTTTGTGTGATGTCTTGATTGGTCTTTTATCGTGATTACTGACGAGGAGTAAAATTAACTTCTCTTAGTTTTAACTTTCTCTTTACCTTTTCCATCTGGTAATAGAGTTACCAATGGAACTGAAATAGTCAAGAGCAGGTTTCAGTGGGGAAAATGGTGGAGGAACAAATCTAGGATAATCTCAAAGCTATCTGTAGTAAGTTCCGTATACCGAGCATGAATTGTATGCCAGGCTGTTTGTCTATATTATTTTTATCCCACAAAAATCCTTTGAGGAAAATATTGTTATTTCCATTTAACTGATGAACAAATTGAGGCTAAGAAAGGTTGAATGTTGCCCAGTATCACATACATAGTAACCTCGTTTTGAACTCCATGCTCTTTCACCCACATTGCAAACCTCTTAAATGTCTTCACTGAGTTTTATTTTGATAAATCCTCTGCATTTATCAAGGGTTAATGAAGAAAGAAGTTTTATGAGGAAGGTTCCTGCATTTTTAGGAAAGCCACATGGCTTGTCCATAAAATTTCAAAATATGACTCATTTTTCTTTAGCATCTTCCATATGCCAGGGACTATGCTACATACTGGGACTACAACTGGAATGAGAAATGATTCCTGTCCCCAAAGTACTTTCTTAGAAGGACAATGCAAGGTGGATTCTCTTTGTGGTGACTAGTATGGGCTCTGCAGCAAAACTTCTGGAGTTCAGATTGCAGCTCGACCTGTACTTGTTCTGTGATCTTGAACAGATTACTTTCTAAGCCTCAATTTCCTCATCTATAAAATCAAAATAATGAAAATGGACCTAACATACAGGGTTGTTGTGAGGATCCAATACAATAATTCAATTAAAGAGCTTAGTAGCATGTTTGGTACTCTATCAGTAGAATGATAAATGTTACCTTTTTTTGGACGTAAACCAGTGATCACGATAGAAAAATTATCTGATACTAGTATGCTAAAACTCTGTTGTTTTGCTTATAGATTAAAAATTATCAAAACTAGACTGGGAAGGGAAGGTGGAAAGAATTTCAGGTCATACTTACCTGTGGAGCTAATGTTCAATATATCCTTGACTAAGAAATTGCATGTTAGTTATTCTTGGCTTTCAGTTTCAGGAACAATCTTCTCTCTTTGGGCAAGATGGCATGCTATATTTTGCTGGTGAATAAGATTTATATAACCTATTTATTTCACATCTTATAATAACCAGGAAGCTTACAGACAGGTTTAATGCTTTATTTAATAAGATTATACAAGCATAGGGTTTGATAAAAGTACTTGATGATTTTTAACTTTCTTTTAAAATTTTAATAGTATAATTATAAAAGAGTCTTTTATTTTGAAAAATTCTTTGAAAGTAGATACACTATAAATTATCTGTAAATAGTCTTCCCCTGGAAACTGTATAAATCCAAATTTTCTAAATTACAGGTACCATTAGCAGACGAAAGGAGTTCCCATACCGGATACCATTAGATTTGGTCCCCAAAACAAAAATCAAAAGGATTTTGAGTATAAAAGGTAAATTAACAAATGCCATTTTTATTTCGCGTTTCACTTGGTGCTTCAAACAGAAATAAAATATCCTCATGATTATTCTGTTTCTCCACTTCTGCGTTCAGTGGCACACACAAACCTACCTTTAGGAGTGCTCGACCCTTACCCACCCCACTTTCAAACCTCTGTTCACTTTTCCCACTATCTTCTTCCAACTGCCTGATTTACATGGAGGTTCATTCTCCCATGATGGAGCGTAGGGACAGTCATTGGCTCAAAGATGTCTCTAAAGTGGGGGTGCAGTTGCTTCTAGACTTAAAGAACTTTCTATAGTCTTAGTGGCCAGTTCTGCTCCAGAGAAGGCTTTATGGCCTGCACATGACCTGGAGGGAACAGCACTACCCTGCTGAAGTACCAGTCCCAGAGAGATTGTCTTAGTCCATTTATGCTGACATAACAAAAAAACAAAATTTATAAAGAATACAAATTTAGGCCGGGCACAGTGGCTCACGCCTGTAATCCCAGCACTTTGGGAGGCCAAGGCAGGTGGATCACGAGGTCAGGAGTTTAAGACCAGACTGGCCAACATGATGAAACCCCATCTCTACTAAAAGATACAAAAATTAGCTGGGCATGGTGGCTTGTGCCTGTAATCCCAACTACTTGGGAGGTTGAGGTAGGAGCCGAGATTGCACAACTGCACTCCAGCATGGGCTACAGAGCAAGACTCCATCT